TCACATCAATGTATATAACCCAGAAAACAACCAGAAGACTGGCAGAACAGATTCTCCATAGCTAAATTTAGAGAAGGGGGTAGGAAGGGTGGAGACACAATGGGGAATTAAACAGACCCACACAACTGTCCATGGGAGGGAGGAGATGCTGGGGGCATGGAGAGGGGAGAGAAACAGACTATCACACCAGGAAGCCCACACAGGGAAGACAAATCCCCAAAACATGTGGCTTTGAAAACCAAAAGGGCATAATTTTGTGAATTCTTATAACAGCAGTTCTTAACACTTGGAAATTTAAAAATCAGTAGACTCAGATATGGGAGAGCTGGGAGGCCAAAAGGAAACTGAGTCTCTGCCCTTAAAGAAACAGCACAATAAACAGCTATTTTATTGAAGCAGCAATTTGAAAATTGCCTGGGGTACAAAAGAGAGAGATTTGTTTATTAATCTCAGAGTGTGTGCTGAAGGGGCAGGGATCACGGGAGTCTTCTTCAGGGGAAAAAAAAAATCTGGCAGGCACCATATGCCTCCCTCACCCCCCAGGATAACCACAAGGACACCTGTAGATTCCACTGTGGTGTCAGCACTTGCTGTTTAGCTTGCTAACAGTGCATCCTGCCCCTGGGTTCTCCTGAAGACCTGACCCCTCTAATAGGCCTTTAGTGGGAGCCCATACAAAGCAGTGTCACAAGACTGGCAGGGTACAAGCAGGGTCCTGACAGGAGCCAGCACCACTGCAAAGTGACTCCTGCCCCAGGGAGAGGGGAAGATAACCACACACACCAGTCTGACTGTGGTCCAGCAGTGGGTTGGAGGGAGACATCTGGTCTGACTGTGGGCCCCGCATACCAATGAAAGCTTCTCAGGGAACAGACAACACATGGAAAATGCCCACTAGTTTGGTGCTACTGCATTTCTGGCAAACGCCTGGTCTGACTCAACTCAAGCCCAAGGTGGCCCCAGACTGGCCCATTAACAACAAAGGGACCAATCCTTGCCCACAACAGGCGAAGAGAGCCATTTCAGATGACGGGACTGAAGGTAGAAGTGGCACAGACACTACTACAATAGTAGGGCACATGCAACACACATAGGAGACATCCCTGAAGCACTAGGTTCTGGTGAACAGAGGACGCTGCACTGCAGGACACTATAGGACTTCTTAATAAGGCCACTACCTTCAAGAGCAGGAGACATAGCTGACATTCCAACCTCAAAAAATAGACACAGAGAGTTAGACAAAATGAGGAGACAGAGGAATATGTCACAGGACAAAATCATAGCAAGAAACCTAAATGGAACTGAGATAAATAATATGCCTGATCAAGAATTTAAAGCAATGGTCATAAAGATATTCACTGGACTTGAGTGGAGGAACTCAGTGAGACCCTTAACAAAGGATAGAAAACATAAAAAAGAAACAGAGATGAAGAACACAATAAATGAAATTAAAAATACACTAGATGGAATAAATAGTAGACTAGAGGAAGCAGATGATTGGATCAGTGACCTGGAATTCAGAGTAATGGAAAGCAATCATGCTGAACAGGAAAGAGAAAAACAAATTTTAAAAATGGAAACAGATGTAGGAAATTCAGTGACACTTTCAAGTGTAATAACATTTGGATTATAGGAATTCCAGAAGGAGAAGAGAAAGAAAAGGGGGAAGAATGTTTATTTGAAGAAATAATAGCTGAAAACTTCCCAAACCTGGGAAAGGAAACAGAAATCCAGATCCAGAAGGCACAGAGAACCTCCAGCCAAATCAACCCAAGGAGGTCCACACCAAGACACATAGTAGTTAAAATGGCAAAAAGTACTGATAAAGAGAGAATTTTAAAAGCAGCAAGAGAAAACAAAAGTTACATACAAGTGAAACCCCATAAGGCTATCAGCTGATTTCAGCAGAAATTTTGCAGGCCGGAAGGGAGTTCATGACTTATTCAAAGGGCTGAAAGAAAAAAAAACCTGCAGCCAAAATACTACATGAAGCAAGACTATCATTCAGAATAGAAGGAGAGATAAAGAGTTTCCCAGACATACAAAAGTTAAAGGAATTCTTCAGCAATAAACCAGCTGAACAAGAAATGCTCAAGGGTACTCTTTGAGTGGGAAGGAAAGCCTGTAAGTAGGAGCAAGAAAAATAGGAAGCACAAAGGCAGCAAAGTTAAGTATATCTAGAAAAATCAATGAAGAGATTCACAGAATAAGAAGATGTGAAGTATGACATCTTATGCCTGAAACAGGGTAGGGATAAGAGTGAAGAATGGGTTAAATCTTAAGCAACCATCAACTTAATACAGACTGCTACATACAGAAGGTGTTATATACAACCAAATGGTCACCACAAATCTAAAACTAGTAATAGACATGCAAAAACTAAAAAGAAAAGGTGTGCCTGGGTAGCTCAGTTGGTTAAGCATTCAACTCTTGATTTAGGCTTAGGTCATAATCTCATGATTCATGAGTTTGAGCCCCTCATCGGGCTCTGTGCTGAGCATGGAGTCTGCTTGGGATTCTCTCTCTCCTTCTCTCTCTGCCCCTCCCCTACTCATGCTCACTCATGCTCTGTCTCTCTCTCTCTCTCTCAAAATAAATAAACATTTTTAAAAAATAAACAGAAAGGAATCTAAGCGTATCACTAAAGAAAGCCAACAAACCATGAAACAGAGCAAGAGAAGAAAGAGTCAGAGAAAACCTGTAGAAACAACCATGAAACAAGTAACAAAATGGCAAAAAATACATAATCTATGAATAATTGCTTTGCGTGTAAATGGACGAAATGCTCCAATAAAAGGACATATGGTAATGGAATGGTTAAAAAAGCAAGACTCACCTAGATGCTGTATATAAGAGACTAATTTCAGACTAAAAGACACATGCAGATTGAAAGTAAAGGGATGGAAAAGCATTTATCATGCAAATGGAAGTGAAAAGAAAGCCAGGACAGCAAAACTTATATTGGACATTATAATAGACATTAGAGGTGCCTGGGTGGCTCAGCCAGTTGGGCGACTGACTTCAGCTCAGGTCATGATCTCTCAGTTCATGAGTTTGAGCTGTCAGCACAGAGCCTGGAGCCTGCTTCAGATCTGTGTCTTCCTCCCTCTCTGCCCCTTCCCCGCGTGTGTTCTGTCTCTCTCTCAAAAATAAATAAAATAGACATTAAAAAGAAAAACTGGGGTTGCAGGGGGCACCTGGCTGGCTCAGTTGGTTAAGCATCCAACTTTGGCTCAGGTCATGATCTCATGGCTGGTGAGTTTGAGCCCCATATTGGGCCCTGTGCTGAAAGCTCAGAGCCTGGAGCCTGCTTCAGATTCTGTGTCTCCTTCTCTCTCTTCCCCTCCCCTGCTCATGCTCTGCCTCTCTCTCTCTCTCAAAAATAAATAAATATTAAAAATTTTCAGAAAAAAAATTCTAAAAAAACAAGAGAAAAAAAGACAAAAAAGAACACTATATAATTATAAAGGGAACAACCCAACAAGAAGATATAACAATTGTAAATATTTATGCACCCAACGTGAAAGCATCAAACACATAAAGCAGGGGCGCCTGGGTGGCTCAGTCGGTTGAGAGTCCGACTTCAGCTCAGGTCATGATCTCACTGTCCGTGAGTTTGAGCCCCACACCTGGCTCTGTGCTGACAGCTCAGAGCTTGGAGCCTGTTTCAGATTCTGTCTCCCACTCTCTCTGCTCCTCCCCCACTCATGCTCTGTCTCTGTCTCTGTCTCTCTCTGTCTCTCTCAAAAATAAACATTTTTAAAAAAGAATTAAATACATAAAGCAGCTAACAACAAACATGAAGGAAGTAATCAATAGTAATATAATAATAGTAGGGGACTTTAACACCTCACTTACATCAATGGATAGGTTATCCAAATAGGAAATTAACAAGGAAACAATGGCTTTGAATGACACACTGGGCCAGATGGAGCTAACAGATATATGAAGAACAGCCCATCCTAAAACAGAATACATATTTTTTCCCTTAATCTTTCTTCTTTTAGTAAATTCTACTCCCAGTGTGGGGCTCAAACTCAAACTCTTTATCGTAAGATAAAGAGTCACGTGCCCTACCAACCGAGCCAGTCAGGCACTCCACATTCTTTTTTAAGTGCACATGGAACATTCTCCAGAATAAGTCACATATCAGGCCACAAAAAAGTCTCAAAAAGACTGAAGTCATACCATGCATCTTTCCCAACTAGAATGCTATGAAACTGGAAATCAATCACAAGAAAAAATCTGGAAGGAACACAGATACATGAAGGTTAAGTAACTTGCTATCAAACAATGAGTGGGAGAACCAAGAAATCAAAGAAAAAATAAAAATATACATGGTGACAAATGAGAATGAAAACATAATGGTCCAAAATTTTGAGGATGCAGCAAAAGCTGTTCTAAGAGGAGAGTTTATAGCAAGAGAGGTTTACTTTAAGAAGCAAGAAAAATCTTGAATAAACAACCTAACCTTACACCCAAAAAATCTAGAAAAAGAAGTAAAAAAAAAAAAAACCCTAAAATGAATAGAAGGAATGAAATAATAAAGATTAGAGCAGAAATAAAATAGAAACAAAAAAGTAATAAAACAGATCAATAAAGCCAGGAGCTGCTTCTTTGAAAGGATTAACAAATGGATAAACTTTCAGCCAGACTCATTAAAAAAAAAAAAAGAAATAAAAGAAAAGAAAAAAGAGAGAGAAGACTCAAAATCAGAAATGAAAGAGAAGAAATAACCCCTTGACACCATAGAAATGCAAACAATTATAAGGCAACATTATGGAAAATTATATGACACCAAATTGAACAATCTAGTCAAGTGGATTAATTCCTAGAAACATATAACCTACCAAAACTGAATCAGGAAGAAATAGAAAATTTGAACAGACCAATTACCAGCAATTGAATTGAAATTGAATCAGCAATCAAAAATTTTCCAGCAAGCAAAAATCTAGGACCAGATGGCTTCACAGGTGAATACTACCAAACATTTAAAAAAGAGTTAATACGTGTTCTTCTTAAACTATTCCAAAAATTAGAAGATGAAGGAAAGCTTCCAAATTCATTCTACAAGGCCAATATTGCTCTGATACCAAAACCAGATAAAGATGCTACCAGAAAAAGAGAATGAGAGGCCAATATTTCTGATGACATAGGTGCAAAAATCCTTAACAAAATACTAGCAAACTGAATCCAACAATACATTAAAAAAAATCATTCACCACAATCAAAGTGGGATGCAAGAGTGGTTCAATATTTACAAACCGATCAACGTGATACATATGATCATTTCAATAGGTGCAGAAAAAGTATTTGACAAAAGTGTAGCATCCATTCATGATAAAACCCTCAACAAAGTAAGTTTGGAGGGAATATACTTCAACATAATAAAGACCATATACGAACAACCAACAGCAAACACCATACTCAATAGAGAAAAACTGACAGCTTTTCCCCTAAGAATAAGACAAGGATATCCCCTTACCACCTTATTCAACATAGTACTGAAAGTGCTAGCCACAGTAATCAGATAAGACAAAGAAATAAAAGGCATCCAAATTGCTAAAGAAGAAGTAAAACTATCACTATTTGCAGGTGATGTGACCCTATATATAGAAAATCCTAAAGACTCCACTGGAAAACTACTAGAACCGATAAATGAATGCAGTAAAGTCACAGGACACACAATCAATATACAGAAATTTGTTGCGTTTCTTGCGGCGCCTGGGTGGCTCCGTCGGTTAAGCATCTGACTTCGGCTCAGGTCATGATCTCATGATTCATAAGTTCGAGCCCGGCGTTGGGCTCTGTGCTGACAGCTCAGAGCCTGGAGCCTGCTTTGAATTCTGTGTCTCCCTCTCTCTCCTGCCCCTCCCCCACTTGTGCTCTGTCTCTGTCTCTCAAAAATAAATAAATAAATGTAAAAGAAAAAAAGAAATTTGTTGTATTTCTGTACATTAATAATAAAGTAGCACAAAGAGAAATTAAGAAAACAATCCCACTGACAATTGCACCAAAAATAATTATAAAACACCTAGGAATAAACCTAACAAAAGAGGTGAAAGATCTGTACTCTGAAAACTATAAAACACCAATGAAAGAAATTCAAGATGACAAACAAATGGAAAGGTATTCCATGCTCATGGATTGAAAGAACAAATATTGTTAAAATGTTCATACTACCCAAAGCAATTTACAGATTTAATGCAATCCCTATCAAAATGCCAACAGCATTTTTCACAGAACTAGAACAAATAGTCATAAAATTTGTATGGAACCACAAAAGACCCTAAATAGTGAAAGCAATCTTGAAAAAGAAAAACAAAGCTGGAGGTATCACACAATTCCAGATTTCATGTGATATTACAGAGCAGTTATAATTAAAACAGTACGGTACTGGCACAAAAATAGACACATAGAAAAATGAAACACAATAGAAAACCCAGAAATAAACCCACAATTATATGGTCAATTCATCTTCAAGAAAGGACGCAAGAATATGCAATGGGAAAAAGACGTCTCTTCAAAAAACAGTGTTGGGAAAACTGGACAGCTACATGCAAAAGAATGAGATTGGGCCAATTTCTTACACCATACACAAAAATAAACTCAAAATGGATTAAAGACCTAAATGTCATACCTGAAACCATTAAAATCCTAGAAAAGAACACAGGCAGTACTTTCTCTGACATAGGCCATTGCAACATTTCTAGATATGTCTAGAGGTAAGGCAACAATAAACTATTGGGACTACATCAAAATAAAAAGCTTCTGCAATACTTACCTGGCAGGGGAGATACCATGATCACGAAGGTGGTTTTCCCAGGGTGAGGCTTATCCATTGCACTCCGGATGTGCTGACCCCTGCGATTTCCCCAAATGTGGGAAACTCGACTGCATAATTTGTGGTAGTGGGGGACTGCGTTCGCGCTTTCCCCTGGCAAAAAAAAAAAAAAAAAAAAGAAAAAAAAAAAAGCTTCTGCACAGGGAAGGACACCATCAACAAACTATAAGGCAACTTACTAAATGGGAGAAGATATTTGCCAATGACATATCCAATAAAGGGTTAGTAACCAAAATATTTGAAGAACTTACAAAACTCAATACCCTAAAACCAAATAATCCAATTTAAAAATGGGCAGAAGACATGAAAAGACATTTCTCTGAAGAAGACATCTATATGGCCAACAGACACATGAAAAGATGCTCAACATCACTCATTCTCAGTGATATCCAAATTAAAAATACAATGAGATATCACCTCACACCTGTCAGAATGGCTAAAATCAAAAACAGGAAACAACAAGTGTTTGTTGACAAGGATGTGGAGAAAAAGAAACCCTTTTGCACTGTTGGTAGGAATGCAAACTGGTGCAGCCACTCTGGGAAACAGTATGGAGTTTCCTCAGAAAGTTAAAAATAGAACTACCCTATGATCCAGGAATCACACTACTGGGTATTTACCCCCAAAATACAAAAACTCTAATTCAAAGGGATACATGCTCCTGTATGTTTATAGTGGCAGCATTATTTACAATAGTCAAGTGTCCATCAGTAGATGAATAAAGAAGAAGTGGCATATAGATACAATGGAATATCATTCAGCCATAAAAAAGAATGAAATCTTGCCATTTGCAACACAGATAAAGCTAGAAAGTATATTGCTAATCGAAGTAAGTCAGCCAAATACTATATAATCTCACTCATGTGTGGAATTTAAGAAACAAAACAAATGAGCAAAGAGAGAGAGAGAGAGAAACAAACCAAAAAACAGATTCTTAACTATAGAGAACAAACTAATAGCTCCCAGAGGGGAGGTGGGTAAGGGGGTGGGTGAAATAAATGATGGGGATTAAGACTACATTTACTGGGATGTGTGGGTGGCTCAGTCTATTAAGTGTCTGACTCTCAATCTTGGCCCAGATCATGATCTCACTGTTCGTGAATTTGAGCCCCACGTCGGACTCTATGCTGACAGTGCAGAGCCTGCTTGGTTTCTCTCTCTCCTCCCCTCCCTCTGTCTCTGTCTCTGTCTCTGTCTCTGTCCCTCTCTCAAAATAAAGAAATAAAGTTTAAAAAAAAAAAGAATATACTTATCATGATGAAATAAAACCGGAGCATCCTTCAGTGAGAAGGATAGTGGTAAGGTAGCTGGTGAAGCCAGTAAAGTGGGGCCAGAGGACAAATGGCAAGAGTCTCAAAGGGATCGGGTGGACCCATCTTCCCTGAGGGTGGAAGTGAATGGTGTAGAGACTCTGGGAGACTTGTAGGACAGGCAGCCTCCATTAGCCAGGCTGCAGCCTGAGGGACAAGTAACATCCTTTAAAATGAGGCTGGTCTCAAGGATATCGGATGGAGTCTTTAGGGAAGCAATGAGGATATGGGGGATTTTGTTCACCGGAACAAGGTTGTTGAGGGAGGTAGGAAAGAAGTGTGAAGGACAAATCCAGAGCAGGATGGACAGAACAGACATGACCAGAAGAAATTACAGCTGCATACTGAGCAAGGATTACAGGGGGGTGTGGAATGGGGGGATTAGGGGGCCCCCAAATTTGTTGGAAGCTCTTGAGTGTCCTGGTTACAGCCTGGGTACCTTACTCTTCCCAAAGAATTTAAAGTCTCCGGTGGGTGAGAAGACACTAGTCCCTCTGGGAGGAGTCAGAGGAGATGTGACCTTGAGTGTAAAGACACAGAAGAGAGGCTTAGTCAGGGCTCAAGACTGAGGCAATAGGAATGGGGCTTTCAAAGAGGGATGGATGCCCAGGCTTGGGGTGGTAAAGTTCTTGCACTCTGCTCAGAAGGCTCCATGGGAACATCTGGCACAGAGCAAGTATGTCGGTCGACTTGAATTCCAATCTGATCATTTGAGTTGATTTTTTTTTAGTAATCTCTACACTCAACATGGGGCTTGAACTCATGACCCCGAGATCAAGAGTCGCATGCTCTTCCAACTGAGCCAGCCAGACACCTCACAATATGTGATCATTTGAAAGAAATGGAAAGTCACTGAGCAACTGCTCTCTTGTTAATTGTTTCAGAGGTAGAAGGGCTCTGAGAGTGGAATTAAAATAATGCCCCCGCATGCTCACATCATAAAAGCATAGTAGCGAGCATATCACACTGGCTTGCTATGATGCACGAAAAGATGGTTCTGTATGAGAAAAAACATCTTGTTGGTTTTGGAGCCAAAAAATCAAAGCTGTAAAGACCATATGATCTGTGGCAGCAGTTGCTCCTCAAAGATAGGTTTATAAGTAATCAGAGTAGGAGGCCTTGCTGGGTACGGCATGAATCTTTCCAAATGCTGTTAACTGGCACAAAAGGATGCCAACTTTATTCTACTTCAACTCCTATTCTGTTACCCTAATATGAATGAAAGAATTACAATAACATTTAGGATTAGTGGAGTACTTCAAGATACCTACATCTCAATGAAGTATTTCCTTGTTCTGTATTTCACGGAGATATTTTCTTATCTACTCGATATTCAGTGGAATGCATGTGAGCCAGAAACTTCAATAATATGAAGAGAGTTCAAGATGCAAGACAAAAAAAAGAGATTGGGGCGCCTGGGTGGCTCAGTTGGTTGAGCATCCGACTTCGGCTCAGGTCATGATCTCACGGCCCGTGAGTTCGAGCCCCAGGTTGGGCTCTGTGCTGACAGCTCGGAGCCCGGAGCCTGCTTTGGATTCTGTGTCTCCCTCTCTCTCTCTGCCCCTAACCCACTCACATTCTGTCTCTGTCTCTCTCAAAAATAAATATTTTTGAAAAATTTAAGAAGAAAAAAGAGACAATAATATGAATGTCACATTTTTTCTCTCTTTTTTTTTAACAGTAGGAAGTACTAGAGTATTATAGTGCACTGAGATGAACAGAGTATGTTAAGAGATACTAGTATGTTAAGTAAGATGTAACTCATGCTTCCATTTCAACAGTGCTAGTATCTCTGACGGAGTTTGATCTGAAAGCAGTTTTATTATTTTGCATTTATACATAAGCCTCAAGAGCGATGGATTTCAGGGGTACCTGGATGGCTCAGTCGATGGAGCACGTGGCTCTTGATCTCAGGGTTGTCAGTTTGAGCCCCACATTGTGTGTACAGGTTACTTAAAAATAGAGTTAAAAAAGAAAGAGGAACAGATTTCACATGTGGCTTTGTCATTATAAGTAAAGGGGGGAGGGAGGAGCTATGGCATACCTCACTACTTTTGAGCTACTCTATATAAATAACTCCCTGCACTTTATCATGAAAGTGGATTTGACCTTTAGGGAAAGACCTTTTTTATAAGGCAATCGATTTTTGCCATTCCCTGGAGCGTTTACTTAAGAAAGATTTTCCTGTGATCAACCTTCCCTGGAAAAGACATTATGTCTAACAAACACCATTTCCTATATCAAAATTGGATGGCCTAAAATCCAAGCTTAGAGTGTGCTGTGATATTCTCTTAAGGTAGAGAGGCATCATGACTTGAATGGATAATTTCAGATTAGGCTACAGAAATACTGTATGGAGACATTGTGCTCTAAAAAGGAGTTTTTTTCTACCATAAATTGTTTTGACAGTTTTACCATCCATCACCGATCTCTTGATATTGCAAAAGGGAATTTATGAGAAAGAACACGGCTTCTTCTTTCTGACTGAGTGCTAGACTGGAGATGTCCTGGGGAAGAGAGACCTTAACAAGGCTTGGAGGAAAGGCATCCATACAGTATTTATGATTCTCTCCACTTCCTTTCTTTAAAGTATTGTAATTGAGGTCATTATAAATCTTTGAAAGCAGCGCTTCTGTCCTGTAGGCTATACCCACTACCAGCAGATATTTATAGAAATAAAATAGTAGCTCGCATCCCTTCAGTAAAGTTCCACAAAGTTGGTTCCAAATAAAAATGAATAAATAATGTTGACCTAAGCCTTGTAGATAATGTTAAAAGGCAAAAAAATTGATTAGGCCATCAGTTCTGTTATGTGCTGACACTAACACCCTCGCATTTGAGAAGTTGGCTTACTTTAAGAGAAAATGGTTTAGAAGATGCAAGGAAAAACAAACCAAAAAAACCCATTAATAGATATTGATTTTGTTACATCAATTTGATAACTTTGTGATTGCATTTTAACAGTGGTGAACTGAGTTAGTACGAGTTGGTAAAAAAAAATTATTTATATATTTGTGTACATATGTTATAACTTATATTATACACAAATACATATACACACAGACACATGTACCTATAGATACATATACATATGTATGTGTGCATGTCAACTTTGTCATTTCTATTTCAGGGTCAGAGAAAAGATTTGAGATTTGAAAATTAACTGCAATGATGCAGACGTGCATTAGAAATCAATTCTCAACCATGGCAATTCAGACTGCTTATTCATGATAGCGAGAGAATAAATATGAAGCTTGACCAACTTTTAAGAATCACCGTTCCCTCCTACATTTCAGAGGAGGAGAGTCCTCTATACTGAAGATACATGTTTGAAGTAATACAGTTTTCATTGTAGTACTTTCTTTAAGTACCTGCGCTAACACATCACATTTAAGCTTACATTACTCCTAGGATTTCTTTAAAACACATACATGTCAAAGAGCCAGAAAGCTGTCAACTTACATTTCTTTAATTTCTGAGTTTTGAGGCAGTGATCTTACTGTGTTCATCTCTACATCCTTGGTTCCATGGACAACGTCATACACACAGTGGGTCTTCTATAAATGCCTGTTGGATGAAAGAGTAGAGGAATGAATGAAGCTTTAGGGTAAGGGGAAACTCTGTAAAAAGTCACTTCCCTTCCATTACGATTCAACCTGAAGCATTCTACAGCCTCTTTCAATTGACTTTCACATTCATATTCTGGTACAGAAGCAGCCCTGGGCTCTTATATTTCCTCCACAGGAGGGATATTAGCACACATCACATCATATTATGGTTTGCTGAA